TATTTTTGTACAAGCCAATAGCTAAGAATGGCTGCTGTTTGTGAAGGGTTGAGATTAGGAGGAGGAAGCGGGGAAGAGAAGGACAAGCAGCGAGCTTGGCTGACTCTCAGATAGAGGCCCCCACCTATCTGCCCGCGGCTCTGGGGCCCCCCGAGAGCCAGGTCACCTGCCCGTCCCCAGTTTAGAGAGGAAAGACTGTCACCAACTCCAGGCCCACCTGGTGAGTGATCAGCCAAAGCACCTCCTCCCCCACCTACCATCTCATGTGGCTTCAGGTAAAAGTCCGGGAGCTTCTCCCGTCTCTGCCCCCAGGGGCCCAAGTACATACCTGAAGCAGCCACACAGACCCACATTAGCTGCACGGGCCTCAACTGGTGGAAATGGGGTGGAGGACAGGATGGCCGCCACCACACCTGGAAGTGCCTGCTGCTCTCGGCCTGGTCTCACCTCACAACTCTGCCAACAAGCAGGTGACCCCAAAAGGCAGAGCAGCAGACTCAAAGCCACATCATCCCAGGGGATGGACACACACACACACGGACACCCACACCCCTGGGGACACACATCTCCAGGGCCAGGCTGGGAGCCAGGCATTTCCCCACCAGCTCACTCTTGGCATACACATGCCACACTTTGTCAGACAGATGGGAGGACCCAGGGGTGCTCTGAACTTTCAGCCTCTATGTCCCCATTAGCACAAAGGACATGGTAGGTCCACCCTGCAGAAGAACCAGCTGAGCTGCCTCTGGTTTCAGGACCTTCAGCAGAAGCCCGCTCAGAAGTTTCACTCTGGACTTGGACTACTCTGGGCCCATCCTCATTGCCCCACCAGGGTCTCGCCCCACCAGACACACCAGATCCTGCCCCACTGCCCTCTCAGGCCACCTCGAGGGCACTGAGGGGGACTGTCCCTGGCTCCATCCTCAGAAGGAGCTCCCCACCAGCCGGGCCCCAGCCTCACTGACCAGCCAGTTGAAAGGTCCTGGGACACAGGTGAGCTGAAGTTTTGGGAAAAAGGAGGAGATGGGGGAAGACTAGTTCTTCACCCAGTCCCAAGACCTAGAAGGCTGAAGGGCTGGCCTGAGGCCTGGAGCCCAGACAACACCCCAAGGGAGGCGCTGGCTATCTTGCTAGGAGCTGCCAAGGGGAGGCCAGGGGCCCGGCAGAGCTTTGGAGAGGACATCAAGATGGGCAAAGTGCATTCCCTGCTGGCCACAGGCATCCTGCCTGGGTCTCTCCCAGCCCGAACACAGCTGCCACACAGTGAAGGGCTCTCACCAAACTGCATGTCTGGGGCCAGGAAAAGTGTCCTTGCAGGTGACATCAGGGCCAGCAGGAGGCTAACAGGCAAAGGCCCCACCAGGGAGGCCTCAGGGGGCAGCGGAGATGTCCCAGGAGCAGCAGGAGACCTGTGACTGGATGGGGTAGGAAGGTCCCTGAGCTTGGGCCTAGGGGGCAGTGACAAGACACATCTCTGTCCTAAGATTGGCAGAAAGCCCCGAGAGTGACAAGACCCACTGTCTGTCTTAAAGGGATTCAAGGTGGACAGGCAGAAGGTGGTCCATCCACACAGTGGAATAGTGCCAGGCCTTAGGAAGGACACCCCAACATCTGCTACAGCATGGATCAGATTGAAGACTGACACTCAGTGAAATGACCAGTCACGGCAGGACAGGTCCTGTGTGATTCCACTCAGGAGGTCCCTGGCATCATTGTTGGATTCATAGAGAGCACAATGGTGGGGCTAGGGGCCCAGGGAGGGAGTGGGAAGCTAGTGTTTCATGGGGACAGCTTCAGTTTGGGAAGACTGAGAACATTCTGGAGCCCATGGCATGGTTACACAACATTGTGGATGGAACAACGTTAATGCCTCAGAATGGTGCACATAAAAATGGTTAGGATGGGCCAGGCGCGGCGGCTCACACCTGTAATCCTAGCACTCTAGCCCTAGCAGAGGCGGGCGGATTGTTTGAGCTCAGGAGTTCGAGACTAGCCTGAGCAAGAGCGAGACCCCGTCTCCACTGAAAAAAATAGAAAGAAATTATCTGGACAACTAAAAATATATAGAAAAAATTAGCCGGGCATGGTGGCACATGCCTGTAGTCCCAGCTACTCGGGAGGCTAAGGCAGGAGGATCGCTTGAGCCCAGGAGTTTGAGGTTGCTGTGAGCTAGGCTAACGCCACACCACGGAACTCACTCTAGCCAGGGCAACAGAGTGAGACTCTGTCTCAAAAAAAAAAAAACAAAATGGTTAGGATGACTGCCAAAACGCCCGATTGCAGGCTGGGGGGTGAGAGGAGTGGGGAGCCATGGGGATTTGGAGGGAGGTGGTGCTTCGCCCCGGTCTTGTGGGAGATGTGAGGACACGAAGGAGGGGCAAGGGAGGAGGGGGTGTGGCAGGGCTGGGCATCAGGGACCCTGGGGGGCTGTGGGAAAGACCGAGGCCTACATCGAGGGAAGGGGAGCAGCTGTGAGGTGAGCGGTGCTGGGAAATAACTCCACACGCAGGCAGGCACCCCCTGCCCCCGCCCTCCCCGCCCCCACACAGCCCCTCTCCCCCGCCCCCAGCAGCAGCACAGAGCAGTCCCGCCGCTTGCCCGGCTTCGCCCCTGTCTAGCCCCACCCCCATCTGGCCCACTCCTTTTGTCTGGCCCTGCCCCTTGCCAGCCCCGCCCCTCTATCTAGCTCCACCCCTGCCCCCAGCTCACCCCTCTTGTCTGGCCCCTTCCCTCCTGTCCATCTCCATCCCACCCCTCCTGTCTAGCCCCACCCCTGTCTGGCCCAACCCTCTTATCTGGTCCCACCCCTCCCATCTGTCCTGAGCAGGGCTTAGCCCCGCCAGGTGAAGGAAGCTTCCGAGGTGGGGGCTGAGCTCTGGGGCTATACAGGGCTGAGGAGCCTCCCAAGCCTGGACTGCTGTCGGCAGGAGGGGACGCAGGGCAGGCTGGAGCTGTGCCCTAGACTCTGACCACCCAGGCCCAAAGGCCCCTGGTCTTCCTGGGACAGAGAGCACAGGACTCACTTTGCAGAGCTCGGGACGCAAAAAACAACATGCAGCGATTCTTAGGGTGGGGTCCCTAGCCCCGCAACCCCACGTTCCGGGCAGCCAGCCTGCCCCCGGAAAGGGAAGTGAGGGGACGCTCCCCTGCCACTTGCCCACCAAGTGCCCAGGCCCCCATGGGGACCGCCAGGCTCTCTGTTGGGGGGGGGGGGAGACACCTGCATCATCTCTGACCCCTCCCTGGCCTCCCACTAGGCCCCTCCGGATGCACACAGTGGCCACCAGGAGGGCTTTTCAGCATGCCCTGCCCCGGGCTGCTGTCCAGACCACCCTGTCCCAGAGGCCATCAGTGGCCGGTACCCTGAAGGCCCCCAGGGCCCCAAAGCCCCCCAAAACTCTGTCCTTGCAGCGACCCTGTCCTGTACTTAGTCATCTTGGAGCACTGCCCACTGCACCCCAAACCCTAGAGCACTGGACTCAGCATGGACCACTGGGTGGGGACCCAACTTCGTGAAGGCAGTCTCCACAGATCCAACCAGGACCTGCTTCCCAGTGTAGTCTGGCAATTGTGCCCCAAATCCTGGACCTGCCCTACGATTCCTGAGGCTCTTTCGGGCTCCTCCTTGGGCCCGGGGGTGGCTCTGGGGAGGCAGCCGACACTTTCAGGACCCCTGAGGCACCATGCAGCTGAGGGCCCAGCTGGCTCCTGTCCCACTATCACCCACATACACCAAGGCTCCACGGCAGTCTGGCTACAGTGTCACGCTGTCCTGGCCTGGCCACGCTCCTGGTGGGCTCTCCTCAGCCCGGGGCACGAGGAGCACAGAAGACGGCTTTCTGCACCCGGACACCCTCAGCACCTTATTTTTATCCTTCCCTTTTAAATTAAACTCTCTAGTGGTTGCGAGCCACCGGCTAGATGATAGACAGTTCTAGAACAAGGCACAGGAGGCTCTTTATTCAAACCATAAGGTGTTCCCTGAATGGGCTGCGCCTCTTCACGGGACACCTCCCGCCTGTTTCCTGAAGCATCCAACCCATGTGCGAACAAGATTCTCAACTGTGCACCTCTGGAAATATCAGTGCCCCTCAGGCTGCAGCCTAGGTTTTAACAGAAAATAAAATTCTTTCATATTAATTGGAAAGGAAACCACTATGGCCACTTCAGAGTTGTGCAAATAAACGTATCAGGAGAGCAAGTGCCACCGAACATTCACACGTGCAGGTGCCTGCTGTCCTCAGGAGGAGGGCAGGGCCAGGCAGGGAGCCCCCCAGCATGCTGAGGCCTGGAAGTCCCCCACCCTGCCTCCATCTCACAGGTGACAGGCTAGGGAGGCCCTGAGAGCTGGTATTCTGCTTTTACCAGCTCTGGGCTCGGCCTCAGGAAGGCTGACCCGAAAAACAGATCACTTTCCACCTTTATCCGCCTTTGATCTATCTACAGCCCAAGCCAGTTAAGAAGGAAGCATCAATTAACATCTTGGAGAAAATAAAAAAGGATATTTCTCCAAAAGTTATTAATGTTTTCTTTCGCCATCACAAACTCCTTCCTGTTAACCAACATTCCTTAGGCCAATGTCTTTGGTAGAAATCCCTGCGATTTTCTTAAGTTACAGGAAGGAAAACCAGGTCCAGCCAGGCCCACTTTAACTCATGGAAATGAAAGCCAGAAGTCACACATGCAAAGCAAATGCCTTTTATTGAATTTACAGACTAGGTGCTGACTGGTGCTGCCAAGAGATCTCCTTCCAGGAGGGCCGGCTTCACGTCCCACTTCAGGGGGCCAAGACCCTCCTCAGCCACAGAGCACAGACTTGCTGCAGCTTGGCCCGCCCCAGAGAGCATCACCGCCGGCTGGCAGTTCTCCAGCACACGGATGACAGAGCCTGAGGCACAAAATGCCCCTGTGCAGGCCAAAGCACTCCGTGAGCCCCTCTGGAGGGGCCCAGACCACCAGCCTGAGGCTTCCTAGCAATGAAACCGTGCAAGGCGCTCTTCACAGTGGGCTTTTTACAAAAGGAACATACCCGCACTGAACTCTGTATGCAGACTCACGTTTAACAGAGTGACCTTCTGAAAATTCATTTCAAAATAGAGACACTTTCTCCAGAACTATAAAAGCCATAAAAATGCAAAATACTTCTTTAGGAAAAATTGAATCAAAATTATAGCTCAATGTTCAAAATAACACGTAACCTATCTTCTGTCTATGCACCAAGAGCAGACCCAGGCAGCAGCCCCTCCAACCCCACCCCCCAATGGGAGTCAGTTGTTCTCGATCTGCTCAAGGTCCAGCTCACCGTGGTCCAGAGGGAAGATGCCCTCCTCCCCAGCACTGTCCCAGTCACTGGGGTCTCCACTACTCCCGCCTGCGCCCTCACTGGCCACCAGCTCCCTCGAGGCCCACGGGCTGGGGCTGGTGGGGCAGGGCCTGGGGCACGCACCCCTGGGGCCAGAGCCTGCTACATGGATGCCCGTGAGGCCCTGTGAGTGACTTGGCGAGGACACGGCCGTCTTCACTTGGGCATCACCCACATCGTCATCTTCGCAATCGAGGGAGCAAAGGCTTTTTGAATTTTTTAAAGTCTGCAATAAAAAAGACATGGGCTTACAGCATCACTGGTAGGTTATGTGGGAGCGTGCGTGGGGTCTAGCCCGTCCCCAAGTCCACACAAAGCACCAGCATCCTCCATCCCCTGTGTGTCAGCCACTGGCCCTTGGGGCTGCCTTCTCAGGACGCTGCCCAAACATGTCCCTGGCCTTTACCTCCCACACATCCCAGCCCCACCCACACCGAATCACCAGGTCCATGGGCGCCTGACACTTGAACAAGCCCTGATGCCCGGCTGGCATGTGACCGTGTCCCTGAGCCACAGTCTTGCACTCAGCACACGGCTAGACAGGGAGGGTCCCATGTGCCCCCGACTTCCAACAACGGCCCCAACCCCACAAGGGCCACACTAGGCAGACAACCTCCGGACTGCCTTCAAGGCCCTCGAGGGGACTCCCTCGTCCCGCCTCCACCTGGACCCCATTAGGCCACTCCAACTTCAACCATGGCAAGTCCCCCAAATCCAGCCTCTTCCCCTGTCCCTGGGGACCAGCCTGTCCCAACTCCCACCATCCTCTCTCTCCCCAGGCCTCCTCTTCCACTGCTATTCTTCAGATATGAACATGTATAAACCCTTCTCACCTCAAGATATCTAAGATGACCAGGCACGTACGTACACACGTAGAGGCCTCCTCCGAGCTAGGACAATGCTGCTTCCCAGGCAGGCCCCCACTCCAGCCCTCCAGCTGCCTCCCCCGCATGCCACACCCAGGCTGCCCAGGGCATCGGGGCTTCAAGCGCCGGGCTGGGGCAGCCTTGGCCCTTCCCCGGACATGCCACTGCTGCTGCCCCTCTTCTACTCTGCACCCTGGCCAGCTCTCACACAGCAGTGCCCCCACCACCCTCAGAGACAGGGCTCCCTCCAGTCTGCTCCCCCAGACCAGCGCTCTCCTGTGAACTTCGGACGGAGTCCCTGTCCACTCTGGGTGGCCTCTCCTAGACTGTCCTCTGGGGCTGAGACCTGGCAGATGTGTCTAGCTGGGTTGTGTCCAGGCCCAGCCCTGGGGCCCTGCAGCAGCAGCCCCTTGGCATGCCCAGCCCGTGTCCCCAGATGCCACCTCCTGGCCGTCACCTCTGCTTCCTCATCCTCAGCACCCAGCACTGTCCATTGCAACCTCTGCCCACATCTCCATGTCAGCCCCACTGGGAACAGCCTCCCACCTGGCAGCACCTGGCCCAGGTGTCACCTCCAAGCCTCCTCAGCATCATGGGCTCCTCTCCCAGGCAACACCACCCTGGCCTCAGACACGTTACCTCACGGTTCAGGGCTTCTAAAGGGTGCACAGGCAGTCAGCACAGGGGTGCCATGCTGCTGAGGACAAGGGCACACGCCACGCAGATACAACACTACTTGGATGGCAGCAACACTGGCCACTTAAAATTATGAACCTAAAATACAAGCTAACCAACTCCAGACAACAAAAATATCTCCCCAAAATTACCTTTCTCTAGAGCAATGAAATGTCTCACAGGACAAAAAATCTATTTTTTGGCTAAAACATTCCCTAGAAACAGTTCCACAGCAAACTTAAGTAAATAAACACATATCCCTTAAGAGGACAGAGTTCCTTTTTGAAATTAGTACTTTTAAGGAAACTATTTGGCTCTGTAGGACAAACTGCCATGTTTTTTGGTTTTGTTGTTCTACCATAAAAAGTGAATCACTGTTCAGAAGTAAAATTCTAAAGAATCAAATTTTTATGGATACAACTGGCCGTGTGTTTTCGTCACAACATGAGGATGCTTAATTCCTTTTTCAGTCAAATCAAGGTGAACCTGACTTCAGCTTCACCTGAGTCTGCTGGGCGGCGTGGAAGCCCAAGACCCGGTCTCACCCCAGCTCTGGCTGGTCTTGCTGGTGACCACACTGGCTCCCACCACCACCCTGCCGAACCGGGGCAGGCTCCAACCCCACAGCACGGGGCCAAACTGCACGCGCACGCCTGCGTCCACAGGGTGCTGGGGCTTGCAGTGGCCAGTTTTCCTCAAATCTCACACTGTAACATTTCTAACTTGATTCGGGGTTGGCTCTCTGGACCAACTGCACCAACCTGACAGAGCAGGAGCCGGCGCCACGACACAGGCCTCGCTCACAGATGGCAACTGTGTGGCTCGAGGAGGAAAACAGCAGACGTCTTAAAACCTCCGCTTACGGGATATGTGAAGGAAAAAGAACCATTGCTGATAAAAATGGCACCTGCAGAGCTAAGAACCTAGCACGCTCCTAACAACAACCATGCAGACATGCGCTTCGTCCAGCACAAAGCTATGGATCACAGTGAGGAACCTAAGGCTCAGAATGGGGCACGCAGGGCCACCAGCCAGGGATGACCTAGACTGGCACCCGTCTGCCCTGTGTGAGCCTGTCCCAGATGCCAGGCCCAGGGCTAGGTTGCAGCTTCTGCGGTTGCCTGCACCCGAGCGGAGGCAGAGGTACACAACAGAGCTGTTCGAAAAACAAAAGTCAAGTCTTTGAGTTCTAAATCAGGGGCTCAAAATATCACAGGGTCTTTCGAATTGTGTGCAAAACAATTCAGTCTGTGGGGACACACAGTTACCAGAGGCAGGCCCTGACTTAAAGCTGGGTGAGCCTCCAGCACCTGAAGCCAGGTTGGTTCAGCTACAACTAAGCTGGTGAGATTCTGGAAGAAAAAGGGAAACTTTCCTATGAGCCATCCAAAGTTGCTTCGACAAACGTCCAGGGCCCGGCCTCAGCCACACCCACACTGACCCACTTGCCAAGGCCTCTGGCTTTGGTCAAGCTAAACCTTGTGAAAGCACAGCCTCTACCCACCGTTTGGGAATGGCTTGCACAGTGAATCTGCTCACGACCAAAGCTGACCCTGGCCACTGGCACTGTGGCCACTCTGCTGGCCAGGGCTTAGTGGCACCCACGGTGGGCTGGGGGCTCTCCAACTGCCGAAAGCACCTAGAGCCCAGCACGTGTGTGCATGTCAAACCAGGCCTCCAGGTATGAAGAGGAATAGCCACAGACAGTGGGCAGAGCCAAAGGGTCCCCTCACTGCCAGAGGGAAGGGAGGCCAGCCTGCTCTGAGCCACAGAGGGCTTGGCAGTGTCCACACCACGGCAGAGGACACAGATGGCCAGAGGCGGGCTCTGTATGCATGCAGGCCTGTGCGTGTGCCCAGAGAGGAAGCGTGGGGGAGGGGACCCTAGGCCCCTCACCACCTCTGACAAGTGCCCCTCCCAACTTCGCAGGAGAGAGGAGGCTGATGCTCAGGAAAGTATAAACTGGAGGGTTTCTGGACTGGGCTTAGGCTTGGTGGATCCTGAGGGGCACAGGCAGAAAAGGGGGCTGAGCAAACATCTGGGCCCCAAATGCAGAGCCTGGGCGCCTCCTCAGTGCCTCCAGCACCCTCCAGGCAGGGGCTGGAAGGGTCTTCTCTGGGGACTCTGAGCACAAAGGAAACTCCCAGAGACACAGATACTGGGGGTCCCCCAACTCCCAGCACACCCAGATCACCCCACACAAAGCTCCTGGCCAAAGGGCTGCACCCCCACAGAGCCGTGGTCAACAATTCATGCCCATCTCAGACACTAGCAGACACCAGATGTCACCAAACATCTGAGGGAAGCGTTCGCCCAAAACCTAGTGACAAGAATAGCTCAGAAGAGGAAGGCAACATGGAGGCAACAGGCCGTGTGGGGAATGAGAAAACATCCTCCCCCCGAACAAAGCGTAGCATACTCTCAAGAGACTACAGCAGCCATCCCTCAAACAGGAAAACAAAACTAAAACAGGAGTGAGAAGGAAAATCAGAGGATCAGACAGGGAGGCCCCATCGTGAAGAGAGAGAGGGACAAAGCACCAGAGGGTGCAGGAAACAGGCTGCGCTGGGCACGTGGGGACACGTACACGCGTGAAGAAATCATCCACGGAAAAACTCAGGAAACCTCAGACCTAAATGATGCAAGTCTTCAGGAGAAGGGACCCCACAACTCGGACACGTGCCCAGGCACTGTGGTGGAGTCTCTGAACAGAGGGTGGGGACCGCCGGCCTCCAGCAGGAGGACCAGCATCAGAGTGGCCTCTAGCTCCCATATGGCAACACTGGGATCTGGACAGCCCCGAGTCTCCCAAGGTCTGTGGGAAATCCGCTTGCAGCCCAGGATCTGGGGTCTCCAGAAGCATGCCTCCCAGGCATCCCTTCTCAAACACTGCCCCAGAAAGTGAGCCAGTGAAGACAACAGGTGGTGACACCCTGCGACCCCGAGGGCACATGAGGGAGCACCGCAGCTGCACACCAGGCGAGGAGTGCTCAGGCCTCAAGGCACAAGAGACAGCCAGTTAGGGACCGAGTCCAGGAGGGGCAGGAGCCAGGCCATTTCTCCCTGCACCTGGGCTACACACCCTGTCCAGCTGCCAGTGCCATCTGGGACACTCAGTCACCCGCCCAAGAGCTCCAGGCCCTACAGGGGGGCTGAAGCACCCACCCCACCATTCTCCTGTCTGGTACCTCGAGCCGCCGCACTCCCAGGGCCTCCGCTGTGCTGAGTCCTGTGCACCCAGCCCGCTGACCCCAGCACCATGTGTGACCCTGGGTGATCCCAAGTACTGTGTGTATGACCCCAGCACATGCAAACCCTGTTCCGTGTGTGTCCCCCAGCACTGACTTCCTCAGACCAAGGCCAGAGTGATAGCCATGTCACCACTGCCATGGAGTGGGGGACACCCTTTGTAGCCACCACCTTTCACACTTATCTAAAAAATAAAATAACAAAATAATTGAGAGGGAAAAATTAAAAGGCTAAAGTAGAGTAAATCTTTAAAACAATTTGTTTATCCAGCTTTGGGGGGAGCTGAAGTAGAAACAAAAACAGTCAGAGAGAAAACAGGCACAGCCTGCTCAGACTGTGAACTGACGTACACGAGCAGGAAACGAGACTTAAGAAGCCCGAAGCTGAAGACCCAGCCAAGCCTCTCCCAGGTCCTTCCCGGGCCTGCACGGAGGTGGAAGGAGGATGTTCCAAAGAGGGCAGGTCTACACAGACCTACCCCCAAGTCCAAGAGAGCTGAGAGGCAGAAGAAAGAGGCTGACATATCCAGTTTCCCAGAAATTAACATTTCATAGGGACCTATGAACAGAAGCCATGTCCTGGCAGCCATGCAACAGGATGGCGGATGCCCGCACCATGACCCCAGACCCAGGGCTTCCACACCATGGGAAGGAAAGGCAGGATCCTGGAGCTGACCTCTGAGAGGGGCAAGGGTGTCAGGTGAACCTGCCTGAGGGCAGGAACAGTAGATACAGCAGAAACTTAGAGGCACCCCCGGCAGGGGTTCCTCAGAAATCAGCCTGGGTCAGCACCCAAGGTGGGGGTGCTTCAGCCTCCATCACGGAGGACTCGGCCATGATATGCGGCCTGCATCCACAGAGCCAACTGCCCTACCCAGACGTGGCCAGGGCTCCAGAGGAGCCAGGATGACGCAAATGTGGCAGCACCACTTCCTGCCCGACTCGCGCCTCTGCTCACTTCATTGCACCCTCGCCCTGGCTGGTGGGCCTCCTGGAGAGAAAAAGTGGTAGCTGCAAATTCCAAACGTTCAGCTGTGCGATCTCATCTCTCATCTCAAACATTTCGGGTTCCTGATGGTCCCTGCTGTGGTTTGAATGCTGAGGTTGAACCCCCACTGTGGTGGTACTGAGAGTGGGGCCTCCAGGGAAGTGACTACCAGCACAGAGCCCTCGCGGGTGGGTTAGCACCTTGTAAAAGGGCTGGAGGGAACTATGGTGGCCCTTTTTGCCCCTCCATCCCTTCCCCACTCGTGGACAGCATTAAGGTGCCTTCTTAGAAGCAGAGACCAGGCCCTCCCAGCCATCAACCTACGCAGCCTCGATCTTGGACTCCCAGCCTCCAAAACTTCGAGGAATAAATTTCTATTATTTATAAACTCCCCAGCCTGTGGCATTTTGTTATAGCAGCAGAAATGGACTAAGACAGTCCTTTTCTTGGTACCATGTGCTGCTCTAAGCATCTGGGTTTTCTAGTTCAATGGTAAGCAAGAAGAAAATGGCTCGGCAAGAGCACCAGAGCTTCACGGAATCTGGCAGAGCTGCGTGGGGGAAGCCTGGCGTCTTCGTGATTCTGAGGGCGGTGGATGACACCATCTGTTCGACAAACTCAAGATCTCCAGAAATCCAGGGGCCTGAAGGTCTAAACACAGCTTCCCCGTACATACTTCTGGTCTAACTGGCCTTAGGTCCTTTGGTGCCCAAAGGAATTACTGACAAAGAAGCTACTGCCACTGTGAAAGTCCCCCAGGTGCCTGAAGATCCGGCTAGGAGGCCACAGGGAGCTGTTTTCTGCTTTACGACAGACTTAAGTGACCCCAATCACACCAGAGGTGGCCAAACACTTCCTCTAAGTGGTAGAAGCTTTTCAAAGCCCTAAAAGCACACAATTCTATAAAAACCAGCACCTCCTCCACACTCTGTGGGAACTGTCACTGATTTGCACATTTTTAGGGATAATATTTTAACTTCAATTAGAAACATAGCTTTGCCAATAAAAACAGAAAATCCTAAATGTCTTCTTGTAAAAACATTCACTGGCTGTAAGTGAGGGGTCAGGAAAGTGCATGTCCACTGACTGCTGACCAGAGCCCCGACCCCTGTTCCCTGTGAAGGGCCAGCCCACGAATCGAGATTCAGGGTTCCCTCTGGGCAGTCGACAGGCCCTGCCTCTGGCTTACTGATCAGAAAGCTGCCCCCCACCCGTTTGGAGAACGCCCGCTGAACCCTGGGGTAAGGCTGGCATGATCCTGAGGCCAGAATCAGATGGCAAAAGAGCAGCAGGAAGGGAAAACAACAGCCCAGTCATCTCATACAAACATCGACGCAAAAGTCCTAAACAGTGAGTACACAGACTGCACGGCACAGCAAAAAAGTGTGTGTGCACATGTGAGTGGGTGGGTGTGCCTGTGGGCACAGCGGTGTGTGTGTGCACGTGTGTGTGTGCACATGTGAGTGGGTGGGTGAGTGTGCCTGTGGGCACAGTGGTGTGCATGTGCGTGTGTGTGTGTGCACGTGTGCCCACCCAGGTGAGGAAGAACTGAATGTCCAGTACCACACGATTATACTTATACAAGCTTCAGAAGGAAACCAGAGCATTTCTTTCGGCTCTGACCTGGGGAGAGAACTGACAGGCACTGGGGCTGCGGGCCACCTGTTCGCCAAAGGTGGCAAGCATGAAGACGAAACACAGGCACAGGCTGGAGGGATGTCCGCAACACGCATGATGAGCAGATTGTCAGCAACCTGACCAGAACAGAGAGACTGCAAACCCACCAGAAACGTAATCAGCACTTCACGGAGGAAAGGAGAGGGGAAGAGGATGTGGAAGAGGGAGGGGTGCACTGTGGCGCCCCACACACAGCCTCTGCCTATGGTCCCCACCATCAGCCCCCCACCTGGTCAGTCCTACCTTCCACTTCCTCCCATGGGGTCTGGAACACGAGCCTCTCCAAGCAGGACTGCTGCTCAGTCACCAAGCGTCTCTGGCACGAGATATCTGTGCCCCACCCCCTGCTATTTGCCTGCGTCCCTCCTATGCTCCAGACCTGCCGCACTAGCAAGCAGAGGAAGGCTTGGTGTGTATGGGAAGCATGTGGCCAGTTTGCCAGTGTTCACTGGCATTCCCGGGTTGGTCCACCTTCACTGCAAAAGACCAGAATCTTCTTTTCTAAACCCCAGCTCCCTGGAAAAGCATTTCACAGCCGGTAAGTCTGGGTTTTCAACCCCTCAGCTACCAAGAAAAATCTTCCGGAGAACCCACCAGTCAGGAGAGGCAAAGCTGATGGTCATGTTGGGGTGGCCTAAAGCAGGCCTCCCAGAGGACCCCCCCAGGGTCCCACATGGGATCCCAGCCATGCAGCTCCAGGGCCCCCGGGCCATGACAGGTGGAGAGGGACCTTGGCTATCTGTGCCACTTCTCCCTGATCTAAATTTCAACAGACCACACTCTACTCGCTGACCTCCCAGGACAGCCCAGACACAGCCCACCTGACTGAGAGGTGCAGCAGACACCACTGTGTATAGCCTGCACTCACCCCCACCTGCCCACAGAGGCAGGTCAGGCCGTGGCCCAAGGGACAGGCGAGAGGGGAGAGGGTGACACACAGACCCTGCCCCTCTCAGCCTCGGCCCCCTCTGTCCCCAGCTTACACTTGGAGTTGGCATCAAGACGCCCCTCCTCACACAGACCCCGTGACCTGAACACAGCCCGCCCTGCCCGTTATAGCCTCCCTGCCCCCTGAGTGCCAGGACCCTTGAGGCTCCCAGCTGAGACCTGAGGAACAGTCTCCTCAGTCCTGTTGCTCTCCTTTAACTCTGCCAGCCTGTGAGCCATGGGGGACCAGCAGCGATGGCAGGCAACGAGAGACTCTCCCAAACCACAGTTCAAAGGCTCTATCAAAATGCTCACTGGGAGATGCCAGGGAGGGCCCTAAGCACACAGATGCTGCCATCGGGGTTCCCGCTGCCTCCCATGAGAGGAGGGGCCTGGGTCTGGGCACAGTGCCCCTCAGCTCTACCTTGTATGGGGCTCCCAGGACAGATCCTCACGCCAAGAACCATCAGCACCTGAGAAAAGGTAGTGAGGGATCCCAGCAGCTGAGGCTACCGAGTGGGCAGCTCCACCGGGACAGAGGCCCACAGCTCAGCGCCTCTGCTCCCAGCTCCTGCAGCCTGCAAGCCGACCCTGCCTCTGGGGCAGGCGGCCTGACCAGGGCTCTGAAGCCAGGGACAGGACCACCGCCACTCCCACAGGGACCCAGCCCCAAGTCTGGCGGGCATTCCCGACCTGGCTCTCCTCACACCCATGTCCTAGTGCAGAGAAAACCAGCCAGCCAGTAAAACCAGCTATGAAGAAAGTCACCTTGCTGCCTGCTGGCAGCAACCTCGCCCTAAGAATGGCCACGTCCAGACCTAACCTTCCCTGAGTGCTCAGAAACAACAACGAAGCCTCACCCGAGTCATTTTTAGGAAGTCCAAGGATGGGCGTGTCCACCTGGCATCCTCCTGGTGCCTCCGCTTGCGCCGGCTCCTCTTTCTGCTGAGCACGCACGGCTGTGAGTGGCACCGGAGCAGGCCGTGGCGCCGGCCCAGCTCAGGCGTGGACGTGGGGGTGCTGCTGGCTGAGGGCAAGGGGGTGCTTGCGCCCACAAGGTGCTCCTGAGAGAGGGACAGCCGGCGTCTCGAGGGGAGCAGGCAGGGCCCCCCCAAATGCCAGGGTGGGCCTGAGTCGGTGCTGCTCTCGCCGCTGTCCACAAAGCCGCTGCTGGCCGAGGACGGCCGGGGCGCCGGGGGCGAGGTGGGGCCAGCCAGTGGCACAACACTCCTCGGCAGGGCGGTGCCCACACTTCCCTGCAGCGTGGTGCTCCCGCCACTGTTGCACCGCCTCTTGGAGACTGGAGTCCAGACCTTGGAGCTGCTGGGGCGCCACAGGGACCGGCAGTACGCCAGCTCCTCGGGCTCGGACAGGGAGCGGCAGTGCCGCTTGGTTGGCGGAGCCACAGGAGGCCCTGTGCTCTCACTGAGGTCCACAGCGCTGACCACACCCAGGCCTGTGTGTGGGCCCAGTGACTCCGGCTGCCACTGGAGACCCGCAGTGTGAGCTGCACCAGACAGGCTGGGCAGGAAGGGGAGATCGTGGCCTGAGGCCACCTGGCTTCCAACAGGCCATCCTCCACCTAAGACCTTCCGGGGGTTCTGGTCTGCTGAGGAAACAGGAACGGGGGAGAAGAGACAGGTGAGCAGCAGGTGAGGGGGGTCCTCTGCTCAGGCAAGCAGCCCGACACATGCCAGCCAGGGCCCAGCCCATCACCTCCACCTCAAGGCCACTTCTCAGAAATGTCTGCTCCGGGGGACTTGCCGGGGCACAGATGCTGTCTGTGGGAAATGCCACTAGTCACGTGGTCAGCACCAGCCCCACCTACACAGACCGTGGCTTCTGAATGGCCCTGCCTTCCTCCTCAGGTTAGTGATGGAATCAGTTCACTTTGTGAAGGAAGACACCTGGTCATACGAGGTAAGTTAGCGTCTCCACGCCTGAAAACCACCACGCTGCTCTGTTCTCACTCGAGCTTCACTAAAATGTTCTCCCTGTGTCATCAAAATGCTTTTCCTTTGTCTGTGGCCAAAGAGTCTCACAGGTGAGTGACTTCCCCAGCCGGGACCCCTATAAAGTATCTTCCTAAAAACAGCTCCTGCTACTTCATGATCTGGGGTCGCACCCCTTGGGGCAGGTGTCTTCAGGGAGTCTGGACTTCAGAAACTCCTCCCCAACCGTAGACCCACCAGGAGCCGAGCCCCAGGGCTCCCAAACTCACTTCCTTCACACCTTTCCCAGAGCCCACCCCACACAAGCACCCACATAATCCCCCCGAGTCCTCTCTCGCCTGTCCCCATCCCTCCACCTGGTGCCCAGATGCACAGGTGCTCAGAGCCATCACGGCCCTGGCCACTACCCTCCTGACCCACTCCATCCCATCACTGTTCACAAGGTGGACTTGAGAGCAAAGTCAGGTGTGTGGGCCTTTTCACATGGAGCTGGCCCCCAGCCGCAATGCCTGGACCACAACAACCTGCCCAGAGAGTGTTCCCAGATATGCTCTTGGCCGGGGGGCATCTGGCTCCCCCAGGGATCCCCAAGTAGCTCTTGCACTGTCCAGCTGAGGGACCCTGAACTGGAGGCTGCAGGGAAGAAGGCCAGGCCCACTTCTAGGGGAAGACCGTGCAAAGGCTCTGGGGTGACCTGGGGCAGCAGGGAGGCAGGGCGGGGGCTGCGGGGAGCAGGTATGGTTGGAGAGAAGTGGCCAGATAAGGAGTGTGCAAAGCCCTACAGGGCTCTGGGCAGGGACTGAGGTGGTCAGTCTGGCCCCACATGTAGGACAAGCCCCAGGAGGCCAAGGCGGAGGCAGGAACAAGGATGTGGCACCACAGGAGGGCAGGCAGTGGGACTCAGACCCTGCCAGGCGCTCACACTTCCTACTTCTATTTGTGAATTTGGTAAAAAAAAAAAACAAAAAACCTCCACTTTAGCAACTTGGCACTCAGAGAGGTAAGCCTCTGAACACAGATCACAGCAGCATCACCCTGAAGTCCTGCTCTGTGAGCACAGCATGCTGGGCACCATCACCCAGCCTCAGTCAGGGGGCCAACAGAGTGTGACGCCCCGATGCCCCAGGGCCTTCGCTGGGGGAGGACCTGGGACTCCAAGGTTATCAAGGTGTGAACACCGGTGAGCCTCCACACTCAGGTAGCTGCCTGCTCCTGGTCACAGAGGGGCCTGGGTACAGGGTGAGGCCAGGCAGATCCACACTCTCCGCATCATGGACGTCCCAACACACAAAGGTAGCCCAGCATGTGCCACAGCAGAGCTCCCAACAACACTGCATGCATCACCTGACCCACGGTCCCATTCTTTCTCTAGTAGCCACAAGATGCCACGGGATGGGCCTTGTTCTTCCCAGAAAGGCCACGGCAGCCCCTTGGGTCCCCACCACACCCCCACCAGCCAAGAAGGGATGGGCCTGCCTCAGCCTGGACCCTGGCCTGGGCTGTCCTGCTCACAGACCACCCGGACCCCTGGCCCAGCGGCAGCGAAGACGGCTGCAGGTGACCTCCCCCATCCCTCGGTGCAGGACACACGAATACTTCCGTAGGGCCTTTGCTCTGAAGATCATGTTCGTGTTCAGCTTCCAGGACCTCCACCCAGCCTGAGGCCTGGCCCCAACCCCACTCACAGTCCGGCCACACCAGCCCCACGAAGACCCTGCCAGGGCTGCTAGAACACTCACCACTGATCTCCAAATGGAACAAATGGCCACTTCTCTTCAGCTTCTCAGCAGAATACTGAAATGATAAAGAGAAACTTCAATACTGAGAATTCAGAAATAAGAAATACTCCTGTATTTTCCTTAATGCAATACTATTTTTCCCCAACATTTTCCTTTTGGTGATCAAAATGAAAAGCATTGACCTCTGGAATACTTTTTTTCTTAATAGAAGTTCTTTAAAACCTAACATAATTCAACTAAGTAGTCATTTTTCTTCCAAGCCACAAGTGTGCTTCCTGTCTCTGCTCCTGAAGTGCAGACTTCTTTCCTTTCTGCTTACCCGAGCTACAACCATCTTTACAAAGTTCACCACTTAGTTACTTTGCAGCGAGATGGTCTTGAACCAGGATCTAAGGGGCCTGCTTGCAACAGCTTAAACATGGGACCCAGGCTCTGGAGGGCAGCCCTGGTCCAGGGAGACCATTCAGGGCCTCCCTCCCACCAGCAAGGTGGAAAAGCCACTGGGCATAGTAGCAGCTGCAGGGACCTGCAGGGAAGGTGCTACTTTTTTCCCTTGGTTTCGATTCTACCCCATGAAGTCTCAGGGAACTACCTGGCAAGTTGCATCTCCTTCAGTGCCTTTGGGTGACTGCCTATCTGCTTCCACACACTGTCCCAGCACAGGCTCCAGGCACAGAGCCCTGGGGGCCTAAGCCCCCATTAGAACAGGCTAGGGGTGTGCACACAGGAGACACATGTCCTTCTGGAGCCCCACGGCTGTCACCGTCTAGCTGGGCACCCCAGCAAGCTCTGTAACCTCCTAGAGCCTCAGCTTCCTTGTCTTTGAAAACACACCTGTAGTCCCAGTGTGCAGCAGGACACCCAAACGCACCCAGCCCGATGCCATGATGAACCTCTAGCAAGCAAAGGGCTTTCTCAGCCAGCACAAATGGCTCCCACGGGTGGGTCAAGGGAGCCACAAGCCTGCACCTGCCCGGGAGTTCCCACCTCAGTGCAAGTGCACACAGGGGCAGTGTGGTACAGCCCAGTGCTCCCCAGGAAGTACTCCCAGCAGTGCTGGCCGTGTGGGATGGGTGCATAGCAGGGTACAGATGGAGCCAGGACACTAGGACAGAAGGGGACAGCAGGGCTCTCTGCAGGAGGGTGGTTGCTATGCCACGTGCCTTCGACTCGCTAGGACCAGCCTGTACAACATGCCTCACACTGAGGGGTCCTGACGAGATGAGGTGGCTTCTAAACCTTCCCTGGGAGATAACTGCAGAGGCGCTGAGACCACAGGATCCCACTGAGCCAGCTGAGGCAGGCCCAGCCCCACCATGTACTTCCCGTGAGACCTGAACTCAGACCCGCTACTCCACTGTAGAGGCTACTCCACTGGAACTAGGTGACAACCCATGCAGTGCCTGGCCACAGAGCCAGGCTGGGGGCTGGGCAAGTGTGGCCTTGAGTCCAGCTCCCCGACCAGTTCTGTGACTAGGGCAGGTGAGCTCCTCTCTGCAAGCCTCAGTTTCCTCATCTGCGACACAGGCAATAAGACAATGCCACACGGCAGCGGTAAGGGTTACCTAAGAACACATGTAACCCACACAGATGATGATAGAGACCACATGTCTCTACAAAGAAAAAAAGGAGAAACCAACCTTGACGCCTGCCAAACACAAAACTCAGTGCCAGAGAGAGCGCAGTGCCCAAGCTGAAAGCAGAACACACAGGAGGACATCATCAAGCTTGGGTTAGCACAGATTACTTAAATGGAATACAAAAAACACTAATTTACAGGAAAACATCTACATTAAATTTAGAATTTTTGATCCTCGAAATATACTATGAAAAGCAATAAGGCAAACCACTAAACAGGAGAAAATAACAGCAAAACGCATATCCGAGAAAAGACTCACGGCCAGAATAACAATTCTGTCTTTAAATCCTTTCTCCTCTCACGTTCCACTCCATGCCGTCCAGAGAAGCCACGCTGCACCCTCGACACTTTGCTTAGACGTTTCCTCGGCCAAATACCCCATCTTGTCACTCACAAGTTCCAGCTTCCACAAGGCACCAGAACACAAACACCACACCGCCAGCCTCTGCACCAGTTTGTAACCAGGCCTCTCCCCGAGGTTCCAGTAGCACGTCCCTCATGTCTGTTGGGGGGGGCCTTGGAATGGCCTTTACCATCCGTACTGCTGCCAATGTTTTGCTCAGGATTACTGTTTACCCTCCAGGATGACGCACACTTTCCCCGCAGCTCTCTCTTTTTCCGGAGCCCTCACCAGAGTCACCTGCAAAGGTCTGCTCATGGCAGCGTGGCTTTTCCTAGAGTGCTCCCAGAACTCTCCACCTGAGGCAGGGCCACAGCCGCTTCCTTGTGTCTACATTTGTTATAGCAGCACCCACTTCTCGGTACCAACTTTCCACACAGAACACCACTGCTGGGGTGGCCCATCAACAGCAAACACTCGGTGCCCACGGTTCTGGGAGGCTAAAAGCCCAAGATCAGGCACCAGCAGGTTCCGTACCTGGTGAGGTCTGCTTCCCAGTTCAGGGGCAGTTATCTTCTTGCTGTAACTTCACATGGGGCTGGGGTTTCCCTGGGGTCCCTTTCAGAGGACACAAAGCCAACTTATGAGGCTCCACCCTCGTGACCTACTCAACTCCCAAAGGCCCCACCTGCTAACACATCCCCTTGGGGGTGAGGACTTCACCATATGAATTTGGGGACACTAACATTCAGTCCGTTTCATGTCGCCCATAAATTATGCCTCAGTAAAAAAATATATTTTAAACTAATGGTTTATAAAAACCAAACTCTCCACCAAGCAAAGCCTGAACCTGCACAGCTGGACACGGCTGGAGGACAGCACAGCACACCAACTGCCACCCCATACCCACTGGGCTGGCAGGCCTGCTCTACTCTGTGCCTCCCTCCTGGCCCCAACACCCCTGCCCACCCCTGCTCTGGGCCAGCCCCAAGTCAGGGGCCTTGGCCTCCCTGTCACACTCTCGCCCCTTCCTGTTGCCCTGACCGGATCTCAGCCCCTGCTCTGGGCCCTATGGACTCCCCACTAAGTCAAACCCCAGGGTTCCCACCCTCACAGCATCCCCCAATGTCTACCCCTGGTGTCCCCCAAAGTGTCCTCCCCAGGTGTGCCCCCATGTGTCTCCCACCAGTGTCCCCACCATGTCCTCCCTCACGTCCTCCCCAGTGTCCCCCCACAGGTGTCCACACAGCTCACCACCACCCCAGCCCCACCCAAGTCCTAGTAAATGTCAGCACCCTCAGCTCTATTCTCCTAACAGCCATAGTGATTCCTTGTCCACCTGCTCACCGTCGGCCTCCCCCAGGAAGTGACCACCCACATTCCCAGCCCAGCACCCAAAACAGACACAAGCACAAAGCAGGATGATCTTCACGTGTGAAATCTAGGCCCCACCGCTTCCTGGCTGCTGTCCCGCTCTCCGGGGACACCTGAGCCCAGCACGATGTGAGGACCAGCCCCGCCCCCCTCATCTGCATCCTGCTCCAAGGCCCTGAGGGCCTCCACCTGCCTCACCAACAGCAGGACCCCACTCACCGTTTTGTGTGCAGCCCACCACAACCCCAGCCCCTCTGCTCCAGCAGCTGGGTGAGGCCCCCATGCCTGCCGCCCTCACCGCATCGAGGACACAAACCTCAAGGTGGGCGGCACCTGAGTCCCTCCTCCAAGCCCAGCGCCTCATCTGGCCTACAGCCACACAGTGAACGAATGAATGAATCAGAGGGTCTAAAGTGCGGTCAAGAACACTAAGATCAGCCTGTCAAGTTCCACAAAACTCACGGTAGGATTTTTATTAGAATTGCAGTGATCCCTCTATGGGTGCACGGGTAAACAAACCGCAGAGCCACACCGTGGCACACTTCACCAGGACAGAGAAGCAGCTACTGCCGCAGACAATCACCTGGTGGATCTCCAGGGATGGAGTGGAAACGCGCCGCAGATTCCACCTACGTGTCATCCTTGAAATGACAAGATTACAGAGTTAGAAGAGACCAACGACTTCCAGGGACCCAGGAGGAGCAGACAATGAGAGAGAGCAGGGTGGCCATAATGGAGTGACCTGAGGGAAAGACTCAATGTCATCTCAAAAACTATGTTATCCACAAAAAGGGCATTTACTCTCTATCTGTGGTGTTCAAGGCAATAGCCAGTAGCCACATGCAGCTACGTGAATTTAAACTTAAATATACACAATTTACAGTTCAGTTCCTCAGCCACACTCTTCGTACCTCAAGGCTCAATCACCACATACCATAGTGGCTGCTGGCTTTGACAGCACAGCGCTCCACCGTCACACGAAGTCCCACTGGACAGCGTGGCCCTACGTCCTCACCTGCCTTCTCAGTGCAGCCAGCATGAGGGACACTAACTCAGTGCCACCTGCTACAGACGATGCCAGGAGACTCAAGACACAGCCCCGATTCGCAGGACACCTACTGTCCCACCGGGGCAGGGAGGGAGGCAGGCAGTGGGCCTGGACATAACCACTTGTCTTTCCAGGCCTTTTTGTCACAGCTGGATGGTCCCACAGCCCAAGTACATGGAGGCTAAGCAGGAAGAGCTGGGTGTAGCCTTGTAACAAGAGGGTTTTATAAAAACAGAGGGGCCTTCAGAGGAGGTAGGGAGAGCACTTCAGACCAAAGTAAAGGAGACCAGGCATGATGGCTCATACCTGTAATCCTAACACTATGGGAGGCCAAGCCGGGAGGACTGCTTGAGGTCAGGGGTTCGAGACCAGCCTGAGCAAGAGCAAGACCCCATCTCTACTAAAAAATAGAAAAATTAGCCAGGCATGGTGGCACACACCTATAGTCCCAGTTCGCTTGAACTTAGGAGTTTGAGGTTGCTGTGAGTTAGGTTGACACCATGGCACTCTAGCCTGGGCAAAAGAGTGAGACTCTTCTCAAAAAAAAAAACAGACCAAAGTAAAGGAAATAAAATGAAGAGACGGGAGGAGATAGCCACACTGGACTGGGTAAGGCTAGGGGTGGACAAAGGGCTAGCAGAATGTCAACGAGAAGCTGTAGGGCCTGGCACTCCCTGGCACCCACGCACACTCAAAGGGCGCGTGATGGACACAGGCCCACATTACACGGGTTAGCTGCCATCTATGACGGAGCCATGGGACTGGGGGAGGTACCCCTGGGTTCCCCCTCAGCTCTGCTGGGCCTTCTCAACTCAGCGGCAACCTCTTCACCCCAAACTTGGCCAGAGGTCCAGGACTGTGGTATTCACAGCTGTGTCCCAAAATGATGATGAGCTAGACAAATGACCCAGAGCAGCACTATGGCTATAGCACTGGAGGCACTGAAGAGCTCATGATTTTTAACTTTACTTAAATTTTTTTTATTTTTATTTTTGTTAGAGACAGGGTCTTGCTCTGTCGCCTAGGCTAGAGTGCAGTGGCATCATGATAGCTCACTACAGCCCCAAACTCCTTGGTTCCTCTCACCTCAGCCTCCCGAGTAGCTGGGACTACAGGTACGTGCCACCACACCTGGCTAATTTTTTAATTTTTTGTAGAGACAGACTGTCACTATATTGCTTAGGCTGGTCTCAAACTCCTGGCCTCAAGTGATCCTCCTGCCTTGGCTGCCCAAAGTGCTAGGATTATAGGTGTGAGCCACTGTGCCCATCCTCACTTAAATTTAATTATTTTAATTTTAAAACTGATACTCAGTTGAGTGATTGGAAAATTTTTAAGTATGGTTAGAACAACTTGGGAATGTGACTCTACTTTTTCAACTGAAAATTTTATGAAATCTAAATACAGATAAAATTCTATGTAATGAAAACTTAGTGTCCGAATTGAAATTTGCTGTAAGTATAAAATATACACTAAGTTTCAAAGACTTAGCTTTAAAAAATGTAAATTTTAGACAAGAATGCCAAAGACCATTCAATGGGGAAGAAATAGTCATTTCAACAAATGATACTGGGACAACAATAAAACTCAAGTAAGATATAGGTGTAAATCTTCATAACCTCTGATTTGGCAAAAGATTCTCACCAAAGCACAAGCTGCAAAAGATAAAACAGATCAACTGGACTTAATAAAAATAAACTTCTGAGCTTCAAAGGACAAAAGAGTGAAAAGACAACAGGCTGAATGACAAAAACGTTTTGCAAAACATATATCTGATAAGGGACTAGTATCCAGAATATATAAAGAATTCTTACAACTCAACAATTAAAGAGAAATAATCCAATTTCAAAATGAACAAAGGATTTCAATAGACATTTCTCCAAATAAGATATACAAACACCCAATGAGCACATGAAAAGATGTTCAACATCACTAGTCATCAGGGAAATGAAAACCCAAACCATGATGAGATACACCTCAAACCCTGAGGATGGCTGTAAAAGACAGACGGACAAGTGTCCAGAGGATGTGGGGAAACTGGAATCCGTATGCGCTGCAGGGGGGATGTGAGGCGAAGCTGCCAGAGAAGACAGTTTGGCGATTCCTCAAAAGATTACACACTGGATTACCATATGACCCAAAATTCCACCCCTAGGTATGTATATTTCCACACAGAAACTTGTCCATGAATATTCATAGCAGCATTATTCAAAATAGCCAAAAAGTGGAAACCACCCAAGTGTCCATCAGGGAGTGGATAAACAAACTGATCTGTCAAGTGCGAAACTGACGGAGCCTCACACGCTGCCCAAGAGAGCTCTCTGTGGTAAGGACTGCTGACAGGTCATTCCACCCTGCACCATCCACTACGGCAGCCACTAGCCACGTGAAGATACTGAGCACTTGACACGTGTCAAGTGCAAAAGAGAAATAGCATTTTTAATTGTGTTCAATTTTAATTAAATAAACTGTCTGAAAAGACAGTTCGGGGACACCATCAGCTACGTGCTTCTGGGGGACGGTCCAAGACAAGCAGCTCGGTATCCTCAAAACATGAACCCTGAGGGGAAACTACAGATCAAAAGAGACACGAGACATAATGCGTCTGCACCCCTGCACAAATTCAAACTGAGACAAGGGAGGAAATTTGAACATCAAATATTTAATGATATTAAGGAATTACTGGGGGGCTTTAGGGTGAAAACGAAACTCTGGTCATGTTTCTTAAAGTCTTTATCTCTTAGAGATACACACTGAAATATTTACAGAGGAGATATGTCTAGAATTTGGTGCAGAACAATTGCAGCAGGGAGTGGCTGAGGGCACTCAGCAAGGGTCCACAGGCTGATGGTGGTGCTTTGCTCTCTTGCTCAGGCTGGGCAGTGGGCTCATGGAGGTTTCTAACTCTCTACTATTGTCTTCACTTATTTTTCCATAAAAATACTATTTTAAGTCATCTTTAAAACATCAATTTCTATTCTATTCTTATATAACAAATTGGCTTTTTAAAATACTGATTTGTGCCAGTGAATGTCAAAAGTAACTCGTATTTAGAAATTTGCAGGTAACGTGGGAGAGCTGGCCTCCCCTACAATTTCCCACCCAGTAACCAGATTTCAAAGTTCTTCAACACAGTTGAACACACTGTCCTGATTGCAAAATGATATTAAGATATTCTGATAAGTTAAACACTCTAAATCAGATGGCAATAGGGATGACAGGCACTTCTTGCTCAAAAAGATATGGTTTGTGCACGCCACTGTATGTAAATTATACTCATTTTGTATAAAGAGTGACCATCAGCAAAAGCAGGCGCTATAAAGAAAGTATAATGCACCCATGCTACAGAAACCACACAGATACAGCAGCAAGTCCCACCAGGAACTCAGCGAAACACCCACTGGTAGTGAGGGAATTATTTTCCAAACCGTTTATATCCTGGACAGGAAGACTGACAGGAAATTCACACAGAGGGATTATTGGGTTAGAGTGGAAGGAATTCTAGGTGGGATTGTTCTTGTTGTCACATCTCTTTACAATCAAAGCCTTCCTGTGTGCCCCCATTGCCTGCTGCACGCCACCCCAGCTGCACCCCCACAGGAACCCCAGTAGTGGCGAGTGCAAGGCCGAGGCCTCGCCAGGCCACAGTTCTCCCCACGACATAAGGCCAGACAATCCTCCAAACACCAAAACGGCTCCTCTTAAAAGTCAAGATTTGGTGAAAAAAAGGTTCATTCTCTCATTTCAGAAGAAACGACTACTGCAACCACTGGAGACCTGGGGAACTCATCACCAGAGGCAACAGACTCAAAGGCAAACACCCTGGGCTAGGCACCAGTGGAACCAGCAGCAGGCAGGGGCCCAGGAGGAGACTGTGAGCTCGACCCCCTCACCACTCACTCGACGCCCCCATGGCCCCTGCAAGGCCGGGGCCTGGCTGCAGAACTGGCCATGATAGCTTCTCTTTGTCAAATGACAAAACGTTCCCTACAAGAGGTCAAGAGTGACCATCTAAAGAGCCAAGAATGTGGGGGCCCACAGGCATCATTGTATGTCAGGGGTCTGTGCAGACCCCTCCACTGAGGGGATCCTGCCTTCTCCCTGGGAAAGCAACCCAGCACCCTGGCTGACATCTGCTTGCCAGGAATGTCCTAAGAAGCATGAGTCCATCTGATGAGGCATGTACTACCCTGTATCCTTTGGCCTTGGTTAAAGTCTGCTTAAAATCATTTTCTCCATTTAATCAAAAGAAAAACTGGGAACCAGCATCAGTGTCATGGGCAGAACATGGGCTTGCAGCCAAAACTCATCTCCCCTGCCTCAGTCTATCCCATGGGAAGGAGACCTCACCTCCTGCCCCATGGGCTGAGAGTCTGGAAGGCACAGACCGCAGGATGCAGCCAGCGCTGCTGCAGTCACCACTGTCACAGCAGCCCCAAGTGCCAGGCCCTTCGAGCAGCACTGGCAAAGGTTCCGGCCACCTGCCACCTCCTGCACGGAACGCGGCCACTCTTACTCACCCCACCTTAAGAGGCGGCTCTTGGGAAGAGTGCCTTCAGCTCAGACCCTCCTCCAAACCACCTGCAGTGAAAACAGGCCACACAAGGCTGGCCCCAAAGCCTGGGATCCACAGATGTCCCTCTGCCTTCTCATCTACTTAACATGCAACAGGCTACAAGTTAAACCACACTCATAGGACAGGGCTTGAGCGACAGGAGGGAGGCTCTGGGTCCCCCTGGGGTCCAATGAGACCCTTCAGGCCCAGTCGTCTGTGTCATGTGTGAATCTGGGGGCCAGACACTCAGCCACCACCTTCTGGATCTGTGATCTAACCAGGGGAGGGAGGCTGCTGAAGATGACACATCAAAAGTTACTTTGCCACTTGGCTGCACGCGGTGGCTCACGCCTGTAATCCTGGCACTCTGGGAGGCCGAGGCAGGAGGATCGCTCAAGGTCAGGAGTTCGAGACCAGCCTGAGCAACAGCGAGACCCCATCTCTACTAAAAATGGAAAGAAATTAGCCGGACAACTAAAAATATAGAAAAAACTAGCCGGGCATGGTGGTGCATGCCTGTAGTCCCAACTACTGGGGAGGCTGAGGCAGAGAGATTGCTTGAGCCCAGGAGTTTGAGGTTGCTATGAGCTAGGCTGACATCATGGCACTCTAGCCTGGGCAACAGAGCAAGACTCTGTCACAAAAAAAAAGAAAAAAAAGTTACTTTGCCACAATGCAAGAAAATGAATCTGCACATACAAAGTTCAAACCAGGCAAAACTAATCTGTGGTGATAATGTCCAAGACAGAGGCTCCTCCAGGAGGGGCGGTATTGGGAGGGGCACCCAGTGGGATCTGCACAGCTGCTGGATCTGGACAACAGGTATCAGGTGCACCACACTCATGACTCCCAGGCTTCTGTGCATGGGTCTGTCTTTTATTAAAAGCTTATTCTTTTTTAAATGACACTGAAAGCCCACAGTGAGGATGTTGATGGGCTCTGGGACCACATGTGCACTGGATACCCCATCCCGGGCCCAGCAGCACCTCCCCCACCTGCCCTCACCCAGGCCTCTCAGCCTTCAGCCTGCACCACCACCTCTGACTCTGCTGTCTGCCCCCACAGTGGCTTACCAGGCGAGCCTCGGCCTTACGGGTGGGGTCATCCAGACACTGGCTCTGCAGCTTCTTAGTGATGAGTGTGACCATGGTCGGGGCCCCAAGTCCTCCGTCCACGCAGACAGGCACTGGAGTTCTGGAACATCAGACTTCAGAAGGCCCAGGCCACAGCTGGGGCTGAGCTAAGTCTCAAGGTTATGTCTTCATTTACAGAATGATCCATTTTCACGGACTCTTCAGAGCTTTGTGTCTGTTTTTCGGTACAGAGAAATCATGTGACTATATGCAAAACCATCTCACTGACATTTCTATTATACGCCAAGTCCCCTGTGTATAAAATATTTCTGATATAAAATATTTCTGATATCCTGTAAGTCAAGGATGAGGAGTTAAAGGCACACACTAGACCCAGCCACTCCCCAAGCCTCGACTAAACAATAAGAAAGGCCCCATCCACTCCTGCTCTCAAAAAGGGCAAAGAAAACAGGGCAGGAGACAATGGCAAGGTCATTTTGGAAGCTGGAAAGCCGATTTCCAGCCAGCAGTGCAGTAACCCTGACTATAAACTACTAAACCCCTCCCCCAGGTCTGCTCCAAGGTTGAAGGTCCCTCCCATCTTCACTCCAGCCAGCTGGGCAGGAGACCCCACTAAAGGTGGGGTTCCCTCCTGCGACACAGGTGGGGAGTGAGCCAGAGTTCTGCACCAGGCCCAGCTGACAGCCAGGGACCAGGACATGGGGGCTGCAGGACGATGAGCTCTCCAGCCCAGGAGTGGCGGCTCTGACCACACCTCAGGCAGAAGCTGAGACATCTGCACCCACAGACCCTGCCAGGGCAGGGCACCAGCAAGGTGGCCCACACCCACCTGCAGCTAGACCCAGCTACCTTGCAACTTTGGTCCCCTCAGTGGCCCTGCAGAGAATGAGCAGCTGCCAAGAGCCACCAGTTTGGACACAATAGAGGCCAAATAGACAAGGAAAAACAAATAAAACCAACAACTTGGAGAAGATCATCCACGTAAGTGGGCAAAACCTTCCACAGTATCCTCAATGTGACCCTCAGAGCAATAAGTCGCTGTCTCCACGAAATAAGATCAGGACACCCTTAAAAAGGAACAGTCAGAGAAAAAAAGAAAAAAACTCTTGGAAATTATAAAACAGCAGCGATGGAACCACCACAGAATTTCCAGAGCTTGCGTCCCCAGCTGCCACCCAGCTCTGCCTTCTGAGGCCCTTGGGGCGGGCACAGGACACCAGCGCAACCGGGAGCCCAGGCCCCACCTCCAACCAGCCAAGGCCACCAGGGTGCCGCATTGCTCACGAGCACCCGCACTAAGGCCTTGGCATGAGCTGTACCCATCAGAAGGATCTGTCATGGCAAAGCCAGGCTTGTGTTAGAAAAGCAAGAAGCATCTAATTATATGAAATCTGTTAGGAAAATAAATAAATAGATCTAAGGAGAAAAACCACATGAACATTTCTATAGATGCTGTAAAGATTTCAACAAAATTCAATACCCATTTTTCATTCTTTTTGAGACAGAGTCTCACTTTGTTGCTGGGCTAGAGTGCCGTGGCGTCATCCTAGCTCACAGCAACCTCAAACTCCTGGGCTCAAGCGATCCTCCTGCCTCAGCCTCCCGAGTAGCTGGGACTACAGGCATGCGCCACCATGCCCAGCTAATTTTTTCTACATATTTTTAGTTGTCCAATTAATTTCTTTCTAATTTTAATAGAGACGGGGTCTCGCTCTTGCTCAGGGTGGTTTTGAACTCCTGAGCTCAAACAATCCGCCCACCTCGGCCTCCCAAGAGAGCTAGGATTACAGACGTGAGCCACCGCGCCTGGCCCCATTTTTCATTCTTAATAATATATACATATACACACTCCCAACAGGAATCAACAGATTCCTTCCTCAGAGGCCTAAAAGCCAGCATGTTATTAAACAGGGCAACACTGAGGCGTCCCAGCAGATGTGGGGAGCAGAGCAGGGCGCCACTGACACTGCCCCTGAGTGCATGCCTGGCTCAGGGCATTCCTGTCAGTAAGCGCAGGCCCAGGGGACCGCGCAGGCCCAGGGGATCCGGCAGGCCGAACCCAGGCAGGGGCTGTGAGCAGAGGTGCTGTCCACACAGGGCCTGTTCCAGGCCAGGGGCTACACACACAGCTGAAGTGCTGTTCCTCTTGGCTTATCTGACCTGAGATCGTTTCCACCATGCCTTTAGCTCTTGCTGTCCTCGGCGCTGACCACTCCCACCATCCTTGGCAGAAACGGCTGTCATCTCCAGCCCACAGCTGAGGACCTCAGGCTCCAGAGGGGTGCAGCAGGGTCAGCCAGGCCCCCCAGGCCTCCCCAAAAGGTCTCTGCACCAGCTGTGGCTCTATTCAAGTGTTTCTCAAACCAAGGAACCGGAATGAGAGCCAACTGCACTGCACAGCCAACACTGGCCCAACATGAGCTGGGCACCCTGAGACGCCAGCTTCCCAGCATTGCACCAACTCACCTCGGCCCCCGCTTCAGAGCACTGCCCTCACAAGACAGGGCCCAACAGGTGACAAGCTGCCACTCTCCTTAAGCCCCCACCTGACGTACATGGCAGCTGGCCCCACAGGGCTTGGGGCAGCAGCCTCTCCTCCTCCCGGCCCACATGCACCAGCCACGAGGGGCTCGCACCTGCCTTGTCAAAACCCCCTGGTCCTACAAAGTACACACATACACATACACACACCTAAAAACGCTACAGCAGGCACAATACAACTTGAAAAATTAATAAAATAACTAGCATTTTATTTTTAAAACAGGCCACATAGTGCTTGGAGAAATGCCCGATTCCAGGGCTGGAGCACCTCGAGGTGCAGGAAGTGAGGCTGGGCTCCCGATGGCAACTAGCAGGTGACGGACGACAGAAGTGGATTCTATGCCACAGAGTAAAGAACCCACAAATTCATGTGTCGGAAATAATTGAGAATATCAGTAAACAGAAGAAGGGAAAACTCTCCCTTACAGAATACCAACTAATAAATGTAGATGGAAAGATATAAATTTTTTAAAAACCATGATTTGACAAACATCCCAACATAATGGTTTCAGACAAGAATCATCAATGATACTAAAATCTACCGGTGAAAATGTGATGGGGAAGGGAACATTTACATAGTCTCAAAATATCTCCCCACAAGACACTTATTAATTACAAAGGAAAAATAGTAACTCCACAGTGGAGAAACCTGGCAGATGCCACCTGAGCCAAGTGATCAGGGAAATGCAGCTGATAACAGGCCACACGGACCGCAAGCCTCCTGACAGGACCCTGAGGACACAGCCCTGCCGGTGGGGCTCCTACCAAAAATGCAGAACCCGGACTTAGTTGAGAGGAAAAGTCAGACAAACCCAAGTGGGGCCAATTCTACAAAATAACTAGCCAGTGTTACTCAGAAACATCAAAGACACGAAAAGACCACAAGGCCTTGTCCAAACTGGAGAGGAGAAAACGCAACACGTGATCCTGGGTCAGAGAAGGGGCAGAAGGGACCACCTCCCAAACCTGGCTGAACACCATCAGATGACAGTACTGTGCCACACAAACACTCTCTTCCTAGTTGTGATCGCTGTCCTATGCTCACCTGAAGACGCGAACATTTGGAGGATCCACATGCTCCTAAGCAGGCTAAGTGTGGACGATCACACTCTCTAGGTTCAGATGTTAAAACATAAAGCATGCTTGCGAGAGCTTGTGGGGCAACGTGTCCACTGGGAGGAATGTGCACAGCACAACGCACAGGCACACCAGAGGCACCCAAGGCAGCTCGCACATGTCAAGAAAAGCTCTGCAGCATGGAAAGGACAGCAACACTGCTAACAGCACCTCCCTCCCTGAGCCAAGGAGATGGGACTGTGAGTGCTGGGCAAGGAAGGAGTCCCTAGTGCAGAACAAGGATTTCCTTCCAGAAGGATGGCATGTTACTCAGGTAGCTACGGAAATGTGTAATAGCTTCCCATGGGTGCCATAACAAACTCCCACAGAGAGGGGTAAAACATCTGAAGTTTATTCTCTCACAGTTTTGGAGATCAGACGTCTGAATTCAAGGTGTCAATAAGTGCCTGTTCGTGGAGACTGAGGGGGAATCTGTTCGTTGCCTCGTGGGACACCACAGTCAGGAGGTATGACAGACACCTCCTCTGAGGCTATCTCAGTCTGCTTGAGGGGTCCAGGATGGAGCAGGGCAGGACCCAAGGAAGCCCAGGCCAGGAAAGCCGAGAGATAAAACAGTGACAGATGGTGGCTGGTGAGAAGGAAGAAGCCAGCAGACCCCACCATGGCAGGATGACCTGTTTAGGGGGGCATGACACTGAAGCCAGGACTGAAAGCTGAGCAAGAGGCTCCTGGAGAAGAAGGGACAAAGGCCAGATGGGCAGGAAGAGTCCTTGGAGTGCCGAGGTGGACACAGGGCAGATGTGGGAAGGCCAGAGAAACCCAGCGCCTGGGCAGTGGAGGGGAGGGACACAGCAAAGCCTAGAAGGGATCACTCCCAGGCGCCTCCGGCAGCACAGCCACTGAGCAACATCCTGCCCCCACTCCTGGGCCACTGGACGCCAGCCCCTCTGCACAAGAAGCTGTCCCGACTGACCCCACGAGCAGTCCTCTGGACCACCCTGAGTCCAGGGATGCCCCCTCCCCACACTGAATGAACCCACTTCAGAGGACAGGCTACAATGAATTCATTTCCACTTTTCCTACAGTAAGTAACTCAAACCCGCCATCCTCAATTCCAAAGGCTCCGGCTCTTCGTTGAAACTGAGACGGCTGAGCCGTCCCTTCCCATCCACTTGGCAACCCTTGACCCGGCCTCAGCAGGAAGCGGATCGCAGGCTCTGAGCCCCAGAAACATCCTTCATGGCCCTTAGGACAGACAGAGGCCAAAATCCTCACCCTGACTCTAGGTCCCCCTACCTTCTCCCCTCACTCCCCATGTTCTGGCCACACAGGCGCCCTCCAGATCCCCAGCAGGGTCACATGCTTAGCAGGTACACCATAGGAGCAGCAGGGGACAAGCCCGTATTATGGGCACTGCCTCACTCAGATGCCTGCCTCTACTGGACAGTGACAAAAACCTCTCAGCTGGTTGCTCTGGCCACTCTCATTCTTTGGGAATCTACCCTCCAAAAAGGCACCAAAGTAGGTTCTATTTTTCTGTTTTTTAATTCAAGTTTATTAA